TGTTCCCGAGGGCGAGCTACATTGCGAAGGGTGATGATGACTCATTCATAAGGGTGCCGCAGTACCTCGCCGACCTGCGCACGCTGCCACGCACCGGTGTGTACTGGGGAATGTTGCATTTTTGGAAAATGCGTAAGGGTAATGTTAAATTAAAGTTCTACTATGCTGCCGGAACGTGTGTCACGCTGTCAAGGGATGTTGCGGAGAGCTTTGTGTCGTACGAGCCGCTGCAATTTATGGTGCGCCTGCCGTACACCAAGGAGCGTGAGGCGGAGTTTGTTGCCTTGAATATGTCCCACGAGGACATGATGATTGGGCGCATTTTGTACGAGGCACAGATCCCAAATTATACGCTTGTAAGAGAAAGGGCGTGTCGCTTTCACAATCTTCGGTATGGATGGCCTGTTCGCCCTCTAACTAAATCCTCAGTGGTGGTCCACGACACCACCGAGAGTGAGTTCATTGAGATGATGGAGCGCTTCACGAACGACACAGCGCCCACTGCAAAACCCTATAGACGTATCAAACATTTTTTCATTTTCGATTGTTGATATTCCCTGGTGCAACGGAGGTGTGTCGTTTGAAATTTTTGGAGTTTTTTTTGCCATTATTAGTGGTGTAATATAATACCTGTTAATATATATATATATACGCTGACGTGACCGCTTGGTGCTGTATATTCATGGTTGCGCTTCTCGGTATTCGGTGTATCCGTTTATATTCCGCAGTACGTCCACACCAATTTTGTAGAACTATTGAACAAGCTGCACGACTATGGTTTTTTTTGTGTTTTAAAAAGACTTCTTGAGTTCCTGTGCCCTCTATTTTCCCTTCTCTATGTTGTTTGCTGTAGTTCTTATTCAATCGGCACCTCTACCAATATTCGTTGTGCGTGGCTGTCGTTGTATTTCTTTTTCTTGGCTTATATTTTTCACTCCGAGGCACGAGGATGCAGAAGCTGCAGGGATGTAATTAGTCCCCTTTATTGCCCACTTGTGCCTGCTGAGGGGTGAGGGAGTGACGCCGCGTTTTCGTGGCTGGCGTGTCCGACTGATAACGTAGGACCGACTGGGCTTGGGAAGTTAACACCGAACACTTATGTTGGGTGGGGCATGGCCTCTTCCCTCATTCTTGCGGCGTGGTGGCGTTGGTGGCGGGTGCGCCCCGACAAGAGGCGGCGCTGGCGCCATTTGGGATGGAGACGAAACTCCACAGGGGGGTCGCGCTGCAGGGTGATGTTGCGCTCCTGCAGCTGCGGAGCGGTGCTTGGCTGGTCGCTGCAGCCACCCTCTGCGTGTGCTTTTGGAGGCGATGGCACACGCCTCGACTCTATGGCATGTGCATTCACTTCTTTACTTTGCTTTACCGCCCCACCCCGGAGCCACAGCGAGGCGTGGACCAGAAAATGATTCAACGAGTGTGACGTCGATCGTTGAGTTCTGTTTTACGACGGTGGCGGTGCTCGCCGGATTTTGCCGCGTTGGAGACGGTGCCACATTGCGGTTGTTGGACACTGTCAGATCAACACCAGAGACTACCCCACCCGTCTTTTCCTCTGTCTTGCGATGCGATGCTGCAACAGGTCAAGGAACAGGGTGTTGTTGGTACGTCATGAGGAGAATGACCAAAGCACTGTGCTTGCTGTCGGGTAGGCGCAACGTGATGTACGAGGAAGGTATCGCTGCCTCCAGCGTCTAGTGCACTGGCGGTCACCCAGCGTGGCGACGAAACTCAACATTATCAGCGGTGCGATCATGGTGATTTGCGTTCTCGCGCGGCACCCTTGCACAACTACACCTTCTCCGTGGAGCTTCTGCAGGAGGCGGCGCAGCGACACGATGTGGTGGCACTGCAGATTAACGAGAGGCTCCTGCCGACGACCAAGGGAATTAATTGTGGTTTCTACTGAATTATGGAGGATGAGGTTCGAGGAAGCCACAAACTGTCCTTATGGTTTGAATCGGCGCACCTGTTGCATTCAACAAGGAGACACGTTGTGATTGGTGTTAACGATTCTGTGCTGCGTGTGTCGCAGTGCCGTCCCTGAATGGCTGGCACCGCCTCTTACTGGCAATACGTGCGGGGCTGTCATTCTCCACACCTGTTGTGCGCGCCTGTACAATGTCGACGTTTGGGGGTTTTGAATTATTCTACTCTCACGACGGACACGTAGCAGAATCACCGAGATGTGAGGGAGTGACCCTGCTCTTTTCTTCTGCTTTTCTTCCTTATCGTTGGGGGCATAGGCAAGGTAAGCACCGCAATGCAATACAGGATGGTAACACCGCAATTGGCAGCAACCCCGCCGAGGCCCTAAACGTCAAACGGAGTAGATCCCTCTAGGGCTATATTGCGTAGAGGTGCTTTCGCGATTTACGTTGCAGGCAACGTCCCCTTCTCTTTTTCTTTTTCATTCACCGCGCTGCAAGTTGCAGTCAGTCATAATAAAGGAACAATGGAGAGAGGGGGTCGGTACTGAAGCTGAAGTTTTCGTTGGATTATATTTCTGAATCGTATGTTCAAGCCCATAATGCAGGACTTTATGCGTCACTGTGGTCACGCAACTTTACTGTGGCCGGGAACACATCTCTTGACATAATTGTGAAGAAGGTGGAAGGCACAGCTGTATGCGAGGCAATCGATGAAGCCATGGAGGAGCACAAGGACATTATTGCCTTACAGGGAATTATAATTGATGATATTGTAAGGCTGGCCACCCCTGCACTTGAGAAATATTCACTGGTGGCGTTTGCCCCAATAACTGGATCCGGCGCCGTAAGGGAATGGAACCCGAACCTGTACTTTTTGCGGGCTGATCCCAAGGGCGAGCTCCTCGCGCTCATCCGATATTCGTTGAGCTTTTTGCGTGTGTACCGACTGGGATTCATGTACCTGCAGAATGTCGCGTTTGGTGACGAAGAGTATACTCATGCAGTAAAATTGTTGGCAATGGTGGGCTACGAATTGTGCGGTGTTTTCACTCTGGAGAGCTCTCTGACTGGGTCGGCTGACGATGGGGTGTTCAATGCCACGTGGGAGGAGTTCGCGGCCACGCGCCCGCAGGCTGTGATTGTGTTCGGTGCGCCTGTGAAGGACACAGCGAAGTTCATTACGCGGATGCTGACGGACAAGCGCACCGCTGGCGCCTACCTACTCAGCCCTGGTGTGCTGCAGGATTTTGTAGTGTCGACATGGCGCGAAGCTGTGGATGGCGGTGTCCCGTTTGTTTCCGGACAAATCCTGACGACAGGTCCCAACCCACTTGCAAAGGACACGCATTACGAGGCCATCCAACGCTTCCAGACTGTGATGCGTGGCTACCTTGAGAGCGAGTGGAATACGGTGTACAATGACACCGAGCACTTCCTCCATAATGACGTGGATGGTGGGACGATGGTTGCTGGTTGGATCGTTGGAGAAGTGCTGTGGGAGGCGCTGAGCAGCCGCGTGTGGGTTAAGGACAGGGAGTCCTTCAGACGTTCGCTCTACAACCAACGCCGGTATTTGATCGATGATATTGTGATCGGTGACTATGGTGATGATTGCAGTGCTATTTCTTCTTCAGAGGGTGCTCTCTGCCGTTGCAATCAGGGTGGGCGGACGGTCTACATGAAGCGGTTCGTGGAAGAGGACCGCGCTGAGAAGGTTGTCGAAGGCATAATTACGTTTCCTCTCTCACAGTGCTACACGAACAGTACTAGTTTGCCTGTGCCGCTGAATGTAATAGCTTTCGAGATGACGGACAATCCCTTTGCGTCTGCCACACAGCAACAAATCACGTTCGGCGTACAAGCTGCCTTAAAGGCTCACTACACGAGTTGGCAGGAGCACTCCTTGACGCTAGAAGTCACTTGTGCAGCTGAGGCTGATGCACATGATGTACTGGCGCAGGAGCTAGGGGTGAGACGCATTCACGCAGTTACAGGTATCACCACGGACGCTCTGCTTGACTTTCCGAACCTGACGTTTATCGATGGCTTGCTTCTGAGATCACGGCGAAGCAAGTTTCGCCGGAACGTTATTCACCTGTCCCCGACACTGGAGCAGGAGTTCTTTGTGCTTGCGCACTACCTCGGCAGCACGAGACACGGCACCGCCCACGCTGTGATCCGGAACGACGAGGCGGCTGCGATGGCGGATGTGTTGCAGCGGTCCCTTGTGACGTTTGGCGGGTCTCTGCGGTCCTCCACGCTTCTGGCTGGCGGTGACGCGCTGGGGGACTACCTGCCACACAAGGGCGATGTGTTCGTCGTGGGCCTTGCTGCTGCCGATGCTGCTGTGGTAGCAGGTCACCTGGCGAAGAACCGCGGTGTGCGTGTGCTTGTGCTGTTCGCGGAGGTCTCCTTGTTCTACGATGAGTTTGTTGCTGCGTTCAATGGGAGTGCTGCTGCTGAGCGCCTTGTGTTCGCGACGAGCCTGCCGCACTGGGCAGACGAGAGCACGACGTCTGAGACGGTGCAGCTGTTCCACGCTGCTGTGGAGGAGAAGGCGAAGTGGACCCCGTTGGCGCTGAGGAGCTTCGCTACTACAATGGTAGTGAAAACTATTCTCTCTCGAATGGATTTGGTAAGTACAAAATTATTGGTTGATTTCTTCTACAAGAATGTTGCCATCACCGTGGCTGATATGCTTTACGGACCCTTCAAGGACGGCAAGAGGTGCGGTGGTAAGAAGAACATGAACGGTACTGAGTGTGCTGTGAACTACGGAGCGACGTATATTTCTGTGTGGTCGATGGCCCGCGTGATTGTCCCCGCGGTGCCTGAGCTGTTCCCCGCTGTGACGCCGTCGATGGAGTACGGGGAGCCCGATAAGAATGGTCTCTCAGATGATCAACTCATTGGTATAATTGTTGGCCCTATTTCCGGAGGTGTACTACTGGCTGCTCTGTTTGCGTTTTGCTGCTGCCGTGCGATTCGTGACAACAACAACGCCCCGAAGGAGCCCACAGACCCCGTGACGCTTGTGTTCACTGACATCGAGAGCAGCACTGCGCTGTGGGC